TGAACTGTAATCTTACAGGTGTTGAACTATATTCTTACAGGTGTTGACCTGTAATCTTACAGGTGTTGAACTGTAATCTTACAGATGTTGAAATATAATCTTACAGGTGTTGAACTGTAATCTTACAGGTGTTGAACTATATTCTTACAGGTGTTGAACTGTAATCTTACAGGTGTTGAACTGTAATCTTACAGATGTTGAACTGTAATCTTACAGATGTTGAACTGTAATCTTGCAGGTGTTGAACTGTAATCTTGCAGATGTTGAATTGTAATCTTGCAGATGTTGAACTGTAATATTGCAGATGTTGAACAGGGTTCAACCCAACGGGTGTCACTCGGACTCGTCTCATCTTAAAATGAGTTCAGTCCAACGCTCTGGCCTGAAAAGCATCAAGGCGTGTTAGTTTTTATTTTAATCACAACATGTTCACGCATGATTCACACTACAAGAGTTCTTGTGTGTTCTGGGCACAGGAGGTTTGCATGTTGCAGGTGCACGCTCACATCTGTCCAGTGGAGTAGGTGTCTCCCACAGGGGACGCAGCGCTCTGACACGTGTTCCTGGATTTGAGCCGTGCGCTACAATCGGCACGGTCCTGATGGAGCGGCTCAGATCCTCTGGTGCGCCGCGCTGCCCCAAGTCAAAGCGGCGCTACAACTTCTCTTGTTGCTCCACGTGTTTGAGTCGACCCGTTTCACTCTCGAAACACCATGTGTGCACGTGTGGGCGTGCGTCTGTTTTATCTTGTGGCTGCTCGTCCTGCTCTGAGACTTCAGGTCACCTCACACGTGCACGGTTTGTTTCAGGCCGGCTGGAAGGAGAACCACGCCACCTTCATGTGTGAGCTGAAGAACCTGCAGGCATCGGGGCTCACGACGCTGGGGCACGCTCTGCGCACGGCGTTTGACCTGCTCAACCTCAACCGTCTGGTGTCTGGAATCGACAACTACGGACAGGTGAGCGAAGGCTCTTTGTTTGCAGGAGAAACGTAGATTATCTGAGTGACTGTGAGAGGATGTGAGCCATCGTGGTGTTTGTTGTACATGGAATGAGAGTTGTGCGCGCTGTTGCAGAGCTCGTGTGTAGTTTGGAAATGTTTGGAATTGAAATGTCCAGGTCTGGAAAAACAAAGTGTGAAGAAGCATTAGTATGATCTCTTGTGTTGTCTAACAATTAAAATCGATTATAATTTAAAAAAGGCTTCATGAAGAACATTTTGTGTGCATGGAACAGCTGAAGGTCAAAGTGTTGACTTCAGTCTCGTTTAGGACATGAAGCCTGGATTTACTTTTAGTTCCTGATCTCTGAGACGTTTTAGAGGCGACATGGAGGATCTGTCTTTAAATGAAAACACAGATAATTTAAAATAAGTTGTTCAAAATCAGATTTTTTTTTTTTATTGGTGAAACTTCAGGTGACCAAGTTTAAATGAAACATCTTGTCATGAATATTTTGAATTAAAACATTTGATTTGTCTCGTTGTTTGTGCTTCCACAACCAGACCGAACACAAAGGTCTAAAAATAACAGTACCTCATTTAATGTTTTACAGTAACAAATATGCGATCACGAGTGGAAGATTGCAGAAAGTATGTGAGAGAGTCGGGGAGGCCCAGCATGCCAGCTGTGCTACACTCTGTCCAAAAAGGAGCTCTAACAAAAGCCTGGAAATGTTTTCTCTTATTACTTTATTATTTTGAAAGGATGCTGTCCCAGTTCAAATCGCAGCCCTTTGATTGTCTTCTGTCCCTCTGGAAGACACAAGTTACACGCAGACAACACTGAAGCCTCTGAGGGCTTTTACTTCATAAAAAATACCACAATAAAAGCACATCTGTGTAAAATAAAAGAAATGTAAAGATGGAAAAGACTCCAAAGTGCACAGCAAGCTGTACGGAGCGGAATGAGGTGAAACACGTAACTTTTTACTGGAAAATGTTTAACGCTCATTACTGGAGGACTACAAAGTACCAGTAGAGGACGAGGCACAGATTAGTCGGGAGGTTACGTGAATGTGAGGGAACGTTGTCATATTTCATGTCACAATCTTATTGCATGAAAAGACTTGTATTAACATTTTCTCCCTCTTCTGTGCGTCCCTACCTGAAGATAATTCAGAGGAGACTTGTAGTTGAACCCAGTCAGCCTGGTCTCAGATCCCAGTCAGCCTGGTCTCAGATCCCAGTCACTGTCTACTGGTGTGTTGGATTACTACAGTGAGACCAGTTCTGTGAGTCAGGGTTACTCTTCTGGGGCATCCCCGTGTGTTTGAATGAAACGAAGGCTGCCTTCCACAGCCGACATGTTACCAACTACCACCAGCTGACACATGCACTCTGACACGTGCACAGATTATCAGCTGCTGTGCAGAGCTGCGTGACGGTAACGACATGCTAATCACGGAGTTCAACATTATGAGCACGTCATCGGTGTAAAGGGTTAGTTCATCCATTTGAAGTGGAGGTCTGTGTAAAACCCTGAAGAAGTAATATCTTACCTGTTGTAGATAGCTCAGTTTGTAGAACCAGAGTTTAATTCTGAACAGCCTGATGAGCTAACGGCTAGTCTGAACTGGGTGGAGACCAAAGTGGACTGCTACACCTCCAGTCTCTGACATTACCTGGTTCAATCAGTGCTACAGCTAGCTGCTGCTGCTCTTTCACTTTAAATGTTGGCAGGATTCCTTGTAAAGCAACATGTTGTTGGTAGTGTAAGTTTTATAAAGTTGATGTGCATGAACGACTAAGATCTTTGAGATTGGAGTTGTTTAGTCGTGGCCGTGTTTAAAGCATTTAAAGTTCATTTCTCTTAACTAAAGTCGTTCAAAGAGCTTTTTACTACACGAAAGATATGAATTCTTCAGAACTCCACACGACCCATAATGCATCTTTAAACGTGAGGCGTTTTTAATGAATTAGTTTATCTATCCTCTTCGGCCTCTTGCTGTTTTGCTGAGCTCTCATTTAGCTGCTAATTGTGGCTGTTCCCTTCAGGGCCGTAACCCGTTCTTCCTCGAACCATCTGTGATCGTCACGATCACCGATGGGAATAGACTCACAAACAGCTCAGGGGTGCCAGATGAGGTGAGATCTACTCGTCTCTACTGTTTGACCTGCACAGAACTGGTGTTTTGAGAACTGGTTGTAAAGTGGACCTCTTTCTGAGCAGCTGCACCTCCCTCTGAACTCTCCTCTGGCTGGCAGCGAGCTCACCAAGGAGCCTTTTCGCTGGGACCAGAGACTGTTTGCTCTGGTGCTGAGGCTGCCAGGAGCAGCCGCACCAGACACCGAGCAACTCGGCAGCGTCCCCACAGATGAGTCGGCCATCACCCAGATGTGTGAAGTCACAGGAGGTTGGATGTTTTCCTCCCTCTGCTTCATTCAGTCTGCCGCTCGGAGACCACAGCTCATTCTTGACTTTGATCCTCTCAGGACGATCGTACTGCGTGCGAACACAAAGGATGTTGAACCAGTGTCTGGAGTCCCTGGTCCAAAAGGTCCAGAGTGGCGTCGTCATTAACTTTGAGAAGGCGGGCCCAGATCCACCTCTGCTAGGAGAAGGTGAGTTGATCACAGCCGGCCTGTTCTTGTAGTTTACAGAAAATGTTGAGTTGTCAGGTCCAGGCCACTTCAAAAGATGAACATTTGGTTTCTTTCTGAGCTCATCTCTTTTCGTACCGTTAGCTGGAGCAGTCACTGTGGACGGTAAGTCAGAGGAGAAATCTTGTGCTGCGTTCACTCTGCTCGTCTTGGGGCTCACGTCTGATTCTCTGCGGGGTCACGCCATCGTTTAAATGTGACCTCCGTCACACCACGGCGTGAACAGTCCACGGCTCTGAAGCGACCCACACGAGCAGATGTGACGTCTCACACAACAGCTGGAGCTGCAAGTTTGGATCCTCCTGACGTTGTGTCAACAATATTAATGTTTGTTCACCTCTACTCCTGTAAAAGTTCATGAAATACAGCGTGAACTTTAATAAAACGTCAGATATGAAAGTGACCTTTGCCCATCCATCCATCCATTCATCCATCCATCCATTCATTCATCCATCCATTCATCCATCCGTCCTTCCATTCATCCATCCATTCATCCATCCGTCCATCCATTCATCCATCCGTCCTTCCATTCATCCATCCATCCATCCATCCATATATCCATCCATTCATCCATCCATCCATTCATCCATCTATCCGTCCTTCCATTCATCCATCCATCCATTCATCCATCCATTCATCCATCCTTCCATCCATTCATCCATCCTTCCATTCATCCATCCATTCATCCATCCATCATTCATTCATCCGTCCATCCATCCATCCATCCATCCATTATCTTTACCCACTTCTTTTTCATATCATGGGGGTCACGGGTGCCCGTATCCAGCAGTCACAGTGTGAGAGGTGGGGGACACCCTGGACATGTCTCCAGTCCATCACAGGGACACATAGAGACAGTTCAGAGTTACCATCAGTCTAACATGCATGTTTTTGGTCTGTGGGAGGAAACTGGAGCACCTGGAGAAAACCCACACATGCACGGAGAGAACATGCAAACTCTCCCCTCCCCCCCGAAAGGCCCCCGGCTGGGCTTTGAACCAAGGTAACCTGCTCGCTGAGAGCGGCAGCTCTACCAACTGAGCCACCGTGCTGAAAGTGACCCATCATAAAAAAATCAGGAGCCACATGAAGTCAAAACTCTATTGGAGCCACTTTCTGGACGTGCACGTTCTTTGTTTAATATGGAAGAGTGTCGTTAACTAGCTGCTTTAGTGACGCCTCACAGACAAACTTGACAAGAAGTCTAACTTGTGCTAAACGTGGAAATGGAATGAGAAATGGGACGTGTTGTAACTTGACAGAAGCCCGTTGACCTCGGTGTGTGTGTGTTGTTGGTGTGTGATCGTCTCGTGTTTTCTTCTGTTCTGAAGAAAACTCTGTGGAGTCCAGTCGAGCCGCGCCGTCTTTCAGCCCTCAACCCTGGCACAGCTGCCACAAACTCATCTATGTGCGACCAAACCCAAAGACGGGTGTTCCAGTGGGCCACTGGCCCATACCAGAGTCCTTCTGGCCGGACCAGAACTCTCCAACCCTGGTGAGCAGGAAACATCCATCGTTACTTGTCCACTGCGGCTCCGCAGATGATCTGTTCAATCTCTTTTATCTTTTCCTGTTTCAACTTTATGTTGAACTTGTGCGTCACCATTTTTTGTTTCATACTTTATGCTTTCATCTTTTCTTGGCAGCCATCTTCCACCGCCGCCTCAGATCGCCACTAAGAGCTCAGCTGGCTCGTTTGGTTTGTTGTGACACATGAATCTGTTGACTTGTGTGCATGTTTTCCTCCAGCCGCCCCGCTCCGCTCACCCCGTGGTGCGTTTCTCCTGTGTGGACTGTGAGCCCATGGTGATCGACAAGCTTCCTTTTGACAAGTACGAGCTGGAGCCCTCGCCGCTCACGCAGTACGTTCTGGAAAGGAAGTCTCCACACATGTGCTGGCAGGTAAACGTCTTCTCACTCTTGTAAATGAGTCCCCGAGGCTCGCTGAGATTAACCCGTCTAAATAAAGGTTGAATGAACACGTTTTATATGTCCTCACCTTTGTTCATTTAGTAGCTAAGCATTTTTAAACCGGGTGAATAAATGCTGTTGGTTTTAGTCCTTAAATGAGTCCTGGAGGCTCAGTCAAGTTCTAGGTTCTTTATTGTCATTCGCTCTCATGTGGTACATGTGGTGGAACGAAATTGTGTACGCAGGGTCCCAGTTACATCTAAACAAAGTATACATTGTAAAAGAAAAACAGAACTGACAATAATAAATAATTGACAACAGTGAGTCTAACTTGAATGAATAAAGGTCGAGCAGAAACCCTTTCATCTTTGCAGGTGTTCGTTAGCAGCAGCGGGAAGCAGAACGACCTGGGGAAGCCGTTTGGCTACCTTAAAGCCAGCACCACTCTGACCTGTGTCAACCTGTTCGTCATGCCTTACAACTACCCGGTTCTACTCCCGCTGCTCGGTAAGAGCCGGGGAGCACGGCCTCAGAACTTCTGGGTCAGAGCTGACACTAAGTCCAAACAGTCTCTAGGTCGCCTCTTCATCTGCTGTAGCTTTGACCTCCAGTCACATTAAGCTGTTACTAAGATCAAACCAAAGGAGCAGTGTGTTTGTTGATAATCTAGAACTGAGCATTCCTTGAACATCGCCCGCAACTTTTCATGCTACAGTTTAGATCAATGTCGGCTGCCAAGAGCTACTATGTTTATTTTAGGACAGAACAAAACTTACACTAAAATCAGCAATGCCACCTAGTTAAACTAGGAATAAGGTTAGGTCCATATCGCAGGGGGGAGCAGTGTTTCACAAAACAGACAATAGAGGTTTACAGTAATTTATTACAACAGACAGGAACGCTGCAACAGTCCAAATATTAAAACCGGGCCAAATTCTGTCTAATCAAAGGATTAAAAGGGCATCACGGTCAGTAGTAGTCGGAGGGAACAAGAAGCGGTCTTAGCTGAAAGGGGCGTGGTCTCGCACGGCGCTCCCAGGCAGCCTCGAGTCTCGACCTTCAGCGATCTCTCGGCACTCTATCCAGAGTCCGGCGTCCCTCCACGACCTCGACCTCACCCGGCGCTCGTATCTCCCTGAGTCTGGTGTCCCATGGCGACCTCAACCTCCAGCGACCTCCAACGCTTGGTCCTCCACCCTCGACACCAGACCCGGACGACTGCACCCTTCAACTGGGCACGATCCACCGTGCCAACCAGCTTAGCTGGATTCTTGTGTGCGTCCTTAACCCACTAGTCTCTGCTCTTAATCATCGTGTCTTCAGTTTCTGCCAAACTGCTGCTCTGCTTGGCCCCGGCTGTCGCCCCTCGGCGATGGTTGCGCACCCGGCCATTGCGCCTCCGGTTGCGTTGCGTTCCCGGCCGCCGCACCTTCCGCCCCTCGGCGGTAGCTCCGCACGTCTGCCGTTCCATCGCGCTCTTCTGCTCGTTGTTCTGTGCTTTTTATTTCCCCATTCCTGTCTTTCATGTCATTACAGCTGATGGGGAACACCTGCGCGATCTGTCAAGTGTTTCCTGCCACGTCACAGGTGGCAGCCTCAAAAAAATGAACAGATGATCAGCAAGTTGAAACATGCAAATAAAAACACAAAAAGACACATTACTACACTAGAGGCTCCAGTATACTCCCGTCCTGTCAGCTGCCCGGAAACTGTGCACAGAGGGTTGAGACTTCATGCTCGAGTGTCCACCCTGAGCGGCTGCAGAGCAGCTCCACAGACAAGGGGCATTTACCTTCGGGAAAAATTGAGGTCGCCGATTGGTCATTTGCTGACACGCCTACTGGATTGATTGACAGGTTGAAAAAAAAAAAACAACAGCTGGCAGGCAGCCTCAGCCGCAGCGGTGTTCTGTGTGTATATGTTAATAAAAAGTTCTTTAAAAAAAGGCAGGGAGCGCTGTCCCTGCAGCCCACATATCAGATCAGCCCACCAGGAACTCTCCAGACCCTCCTGCAGCCATGCTGGTCTGATTTTAGTTTGCTCGTGACAAATTCCTCCATTTCTCACCATTTCAGTCATGACAAAACAAAAGAAAAGGCCAGATCAGGGATGAAGAACGAGACTTTAATACATTGGTGTCGCAACAAAACAGTCCGTCGCCGGGCAGTTTATTGTGTGACACCAGGTATGCGGGAGTAAACTGGGGGCTTAAGATTATCGTTTGTTGGAAATGACAACGTTACAGCCACTTTGAAAGTGATTATGCATGATTTCATGCTCAGAGTATTAGAGATGCACCGATCCGACATCGGTATCGGTCCCGGTATCGAAAAAAACTTCTGGATCGGGTATCCTGACGATGTGACCGATCCATGACTGGACAGATCTATTCACTCTAATTCTACGCTTTGTGCTCTGAGTGACGTCACGTGTTGGTGAACTCACCGCACAGATTGTTTTCAAAATGGAGCGAGCGAAAGGATCCGCCATCAGGGTCCGTGTACATTCAGGCAGTTCGTTTTTCCGTTTGAAACAAAAAACAAAAACACACTTGTTTTTTGTTTTTTGTTTATTAAACCAAAATGAAAAAATCAGATAACGAAACGTTTTCTGATTTTTTTTGCACAAACCGAAAATGGAAAAAACGGATAACGAGCGCTCACTTTCGATTTTCATGATTTCATATTGACAAGTGGTCTGACCCGGAAGTTCTCTCTGCCCCGCACCGTGCAGCAAAACGGCCGTGAATTAATATGAATTTATTTGATTTGTACCCACTGAAAACCTTATATCCTGACTTTTTTCTATGTAGATTAAAAACGCACAAGAACAGAGAAAATTCTGAGAGACGTTAGTTTGCTGAATCTGGAAGTAAGCCCAATTTGAACCATCTGTTCTCCATGGTAACTGATGCTGGCCCTGTCACCTAAGTGATTTTATATATATACTCAGAAATACTTTATTAATCCCAGAGGGAAATTAAATGTTGTTGAAGCTCATTTTCCTGGCTTCACAAAAATGCCGTTCTAGATGTCGATGGCTGTGGGCGGGAAGGACCCCCCGTGGCGGTCCGTCTTATAGCAGATCCGAAAAAAACTATACAGTCGTATTACAAGATGATTATTATTAAACCAGCATATTGTGTAAAACTTTGAAGATATACAAGTATTTCTAAACAAGGTGGGGCTGTTATGATGTTGCTGTTTCTAAATTTTCACAGTGGATTTTGAAATTTGAACCATCAAAGTATTACCCCAATAAGAACTTTTTGGACCAACATGTTTGTTTCATCACAAAAAAAGTCAATATTGGATTTGCAAAATATTACATATTTCAGTGTAAAGTAAATTGATTTGAAATTAGATTAAATGTTCTGTTGAGATTGCAATAACTGGTTTATTTGAAATGCCCCTCTCCCAACATGGGTGGGGTCATCAGCTTCAACCACAAGAAACATCCATCCATTATCTTTTACCTGCTTCTTCCATTTTGGGTCACGGGGGTCGCCGGTGCCCATGTCCAGCAGTTACTGTGCGAGGTACACCCTGGACAGGTTGCAGGTCCATCACAGGGACACATAGAGACAAGTTACCAATCAGCCTAACTTGTTATTGGTCTGTGGGAGAAAACCGGAGTACACGTAGAAAACCCACGCATGCACAAAGAAAACATGCAAACTCCGCCCAGAACAGCCCTCAGACCAGGATTTGAACCAGGGACCTGCTCGCTGAGAGGCAGCAGCTCTACCAGTTGTGCCACCGTGCTGCTCACACAAACAAACAAACAAAAAAGAACAAAACTCCCTTCAACTTCTTTATAAGAATGACAAAAAGCCAGAATAGAAGACATGCAGGTGCTGGTCATTAAATTAGAATATCATGAAAAAGTTGATTTATTTCAGTAATTCCATTAAAAAAATGAAACTTGTATATTCTATTCATTCATTACACACAGACTGATATATTTCAAATGTTTATTTATTTTAATGTTGATGATTATAACTGACAACTAATGAAAACCCCAAATTCAGTATCTCAGAAAATTAGAATATTACTTAAGACCAATAAAAAAAGATTTTTAGAAATGTTGGCCAACTGATAAGTATGAGCATGAAAAGTATGAGCATGTACAGCATCAATACTTAGTAGTTGCTACTTTTCCCTGGATTATTGCAGCAACACATTGTGGCGTGGAGTAGATCAGTCTGTGTCTCTGCTCAGGTGTTCTGATAGTGACCTTCAGCTCTTCTGAATTGTTGGGTCTGGTGTATCACATCTTCCTCTTCACAATATCCCATACATTTTCTATGGGGTTAAGGTCAGATGAGTTTGCTGGTCAGTTCAAAACATGGTCCTTAAACCAGGTACTTTGGCACTGTGTGCAGGTGCCAAGTCCTATTGGAAAATGAAATCTGCATCTCCATAAAGTTGGTCAGCAGCAGGAAACATGAAGTCTCTAAAACTTCCTGGTAGATGGCTGTGTTGACCTTGGACCTGAGAAAACACAGAACCTTCAGTCTGGTCCAGAAAGTTGAAAAGCTTTTCAGAATAAGGACCGGTCAATCTTTCATGGAGCTCCCCACAACATGGATACTGTGGGGAGAGAAGCAAGTCTGTTAGAAAGCATGCGTCCTTCATGTCATGATGTGCAAAGAAAAATAACCAGCAGGTTCATCAGGCTGAGACTAAGAATAGCAGCAAAACATCTTCAATGAAAGAAAAACAGTTCTGTCCAGTGCTGAGCATCTTTGAAGTAAAAGCCAGACAAAAAACACGAAGAAGAAAAACTGCATCTTGTACAACAACAAGCCAGCCCCCACCAAACACCTTGACTGTTGCCATGGAGGAGCTTGGGCTCTCCTTTGCAAACGCCACACCACCCAGTGCACCTATACATATGGATGTATGATTGGAGGGATTTTTATGTCCCTTACATTTATTTAATTTCACTGATTATGCATAAGTTATATTCAAAAACCTTCAATCTGGTCCTCTGGACATTCAAAAAAAAAAAAAAGCAAAAAAAAAAATGTAGAAACGTTTCGTCTTTCATCCGAGAGACTTCCTCAGTCTGAGGAGCTGTATTCAGCTCAGTCTCTTAAATAGCACCTTCTCAGAGTGGATCAACCAGTTTTGCTGCTGACAACCAAAACCAGCTGATCACATGATCAAGAAGGACCATCAGCCTAACAATGGATCATTAGCACACTGATGGCTGTTTACTGTTCACAGAGGGCTGAGTGATACTAGCAATCACAGCATTGTAAGAGGGGGACAGTTGAACCCGGAGGCTCCACCCCTGTTTAATGATGGACGATTTCTTATCACAAAGATGGCCTCCTTTACTCCTCTCTCAAACCATCGTTCCTCTCTGTCCAGGATGTGAACATCTTCATCCTTGAAAGAGTGACCTCTGGCCTGGAGATGAGTGTAGACCGCAGAGTCCTGGTCTGATGATGTTGATCTTCTGTGCTGGGCCATCCTTTTGGCCAGTGGCTGTTTAGTTTC